ATTTTTTAAATATAAGACGTAGGTATTATTATGTTTTAATGCCTAGCAATTCACAATAGAATATATAGTAAAATATATTGGTCGTTTTTTGTACTATTTTAACTTTTGCGGTTCTTTGAAAATYACGATGTTGCAATATTTTTTTAATGGCCCATAAGAAATTTGTTTTTATTATTGTTATTTTTTATTTCTAGTGATAATGAGGCTGATTATAATGGATAATGCAGACAAAGTTTCGGAATGGGCTGCAAAATATGTTGTAAAGAGGATAAAACATTTCAACCCAGGACCCGAYAGATATTTTGTTTTGGGGTTACCAACGGGTGTGTCTTAATGTTTATGATCATGTATACTATTAATATTGTCTATTTTCTACTATGATAAAATTTCGGCTTTCTAAATGCTAACAGTATCTAAAAACAAATAAATATGTCCAATTGTAGGTGGAACGCCATTAGGTATGTACAGGTATTTGATCCAATATTACAGGGCTGGAGATATTTCGTTCAAGTATGTCAAGACTTTTAACATGGATGAATATGTAGGTAAGAAACWAAAATCTATAAGAATCTTGCATATTAAAAATTGCAATACATGCAGAACATTTATAATAATAATAGGTATAAACAATACAATATACAAATATACAATTATATTAACATAAACTGTGTTTTTTTATATTCTTACACTACCGAATACTTTTATTATAATATTAATATTAATATTCAATATACGTGTACAGGAATACCAAGAAATCATGTGGAAAGTTATCACTATTATATGATGACGAATTTTTTCACGCACGTTGACATAGATCCAAATAATGCGCATATCCTGGACGGCAACGCTGTAGACTTGCAGGCGGAGTGCATCCATTACGAACGGCTGATAGAAGAGGCTGGAGGGGTTCATCTATTTATTGGAGGTAGGTACCTACTTGTAGAAGTATTTGAGGTACATTTAGTGTTGGCTTGAATATGGTAAACTAACTTAAAGAATATAAGATTTTTACATGAAATACTTTTAGTTCTCATTAATCGTTATTCCTTGATATGGTTTAATACCTTCCCCCATAACTCCCAAGCTACAACTTAAAGGCTGTAATCGTGTAAAAATTTAGCATGGAGTCTAAAACATAAAGCCTTCATCGGACCATTTAGTTGAAATAATAATAAATAAATGTAATATACAGTGGCGTATAATCAGTGAGGGTTTGGACGTTTAACACCATCGTCTTTCCAAGCGATTGTAAACTCTTCGGATTTTAACGGCATGTAAACTCTCAAGTATTTACAAAACTTCAGTATACTACTAAGCTATAGGGGAGCATGGGATACATTATTCGTATTACTACGCTGCAGTTGCAGACGACACTAAAATAATTCAGTCCGTCGCCTGTTATCATAATACATTAAATATCACTTATTATTATTTATTTTATCATTAGTTAGTTTTGTATGAAATATAATTTTTATTTATATTAGATTCTGAACGAAGTGATATTGATTTTACAATGATGTGTGTGCTTTTTTTGTTTTTGTGTCTGTGTACAGCATAACTAGTCGAAATAATGCTTCAATTTCAAACWTTGGGGGTGGTTTCCGATGGAAAAGTGAATATCATTGGTGCATTATAGAGGTCAAAAGTAAACATTTTCCAACAGTTTTCAAAAAAATCGAGAAAAACAAAAAAAAAGTGACAGAATAACGGGAATTTTTACGCAAAACTAGTTTTCGACCAAATCGATTTTTTTATATGGTTATAATTCAAAAATAGAGCAGACCTGCTGTACCTAACCTAAACTATAGTCAGAGGTCCACCCCACACCTTAATGTACAGCAAAGCGACATCCACTTATTACCCGTTTTTTTTAAAAATTACTTTTGTAATTGTAATTAAAAATAAATTTACCCACTTTGCCTAGTTTAAATGTTACTTTTAAATTATAATTATAATATATAATATTATGTCTTGTATTATGTAATTATTATAACTTTTTTACTTATTATATGTTATATATATATTAAATAAGTATTGCCTATAATGTTGATCCGGAAGACATTATACTAGCTAGTTTTAAAAACCGGGAGAGTTTACCACCAGCCGCCTTTCCACGCCTAATAAATGCATTATTTATATAAGAAAATTGTAAAAAATTAATTAATTCTTAACCTCCCCTCCTCTCCTTTCTTAATCCAAGCTATGCCACTGGTTATGTATATAATATCATATAGGTATTATATTTTATTMTGCTTGTTATTATTGATAATATTATTATAGTTATTATAGTTTATTACCAATCTATAGTAACATTTTTGTCATTCTATTCGGTCGGTTCGAAAAGGCATCGGTCCAGATGGTCATATAGCATTCAACGAGCCCGGTTCGTCATTGGCATCTAAGACCCGAGTGAAGACTTTGGCCCGAGAGACATTGGAGGCAAATGCCAGGTTCTTCGACAACGACATTGATAAAGTCCCCAAACAGGCACTGACGGTTGGCGTAGGAACGGTTATGAACGCTGAAACGGTAAATACCTAACTGTTATCCGTAGTTAAATATTTAAGAGGAGGTACGTAGGTATATCTATATTTTTTTAAATTTTATTAGGTAATGTGCAATCTGTTCAAATTAGGCAAAATAAGCATATGTAAGCTATGAAACATAAAAAAAATTAACAAAAGTAAAACAGACGAGAAAGCHGTGATTAAAGGAGCCACCCATTAAGGACACTTTAGCTGTTATAACTTATTAATATACTTCGTTAATCGTTAGTTAATTTAAAGAAGCTTGAGACACCATGTTCTCTTCAACCTACGTTGGGGATTTCCAGGGAGAGTTAGGATAGAGAGGCCTTTTATAAGTAGATTTAGTGATTCGAAAGGYCGAGGTGAAATCTATTGGAGAAAGTATTGGTTTCCTCGTTAATTGTTTTTATATGAAGGTCGTTATGAAGCGTATGATTTGAAATGAAATAAGGAACATTTGTAATTTTGAGGACTGAAATGTTTTAGAATGTTTGAATTTTATTGATATTTGATTTTTGGTTGCGTCCCAGAGTTGTAGAATTTATTAGACCGATCAGCCTTTTGCCTTTTTTCTCTAAAATTTGTGAAAAACTCATACTTATACGATTATCCTCACACATCATCCTCAATAATTTTCTCCCTCACTCACAATTTGAATTTCRATGTAAGCATAGCACAATATTCACCAAGTGTACTGAGTCGTGGATGCCATCTCTTCCTCTCCAGAAAAGAAACAATACTGTACTAGTGTTTTTCTTGACATATCAAGAGTTTGAAAGGGTCTGAAATCAGGGTTTATTATTTAAACACCGGAAATGCCTTCCTTCAGCACTTTTTTTATTAATAAAACCGTATTTAGACAATCGTCATTTTTAAATTCGTTAAGGCTCAGCCTTCTCAAATATTTCAACAATTAATACAGAAGTACCACAAGGTGCACAGGGTGTATGGTGTATACTGTATAGGTATGCTCTGTAATGGCGTGTAGGTAAAATTGGTAATCGAGATGCGGTCATCTCTGATATTTTTAGTGATGCAGTGTGTATTATATATAATTATATATACATATATGTAGTTATGAATATAATATGGCTTGTTATTAAACTAGTTTTTAAAATAAATGCGGTATTAGGTATTTAGTAAATATGGTATAGTAGTATAAGTTAATAGGTATAGGTACCTACTCGTAGTATGCTATCAATTCACGTATTTTTTGGCTTTCACTTTGAAACAGTCATTGTACACTTCTAGGTCTCTAGTGGTATGTTGACATATAGTTATAGTCATTCGTATTATCATGAGCAGGGATGTCACAATTTTTTCAAAATTATAAATTACAATGGACTATGTTTAGYCAAAATATTACGTAATTTTTAATTATCAATAAACACAATTTTATGCAGCAAAAAAGGCCGAAAACTCGTAGTTGCATAAATATAATTAAAAGTTATTATTACTATTTTTAATTTTTATACTAAATAATTTGTGGTGTCTTCAAACTTTCTTTTCAATAAAGGATTGAATAAGAGTTATTATAGTATATAGTTATTATTGAAGAATGAAGATTATCTACTTTTATAAGTTTTACTATTYTTCCATGTAGATAGTGTATACAATATATTATTGTCAATAATCAATATACAGTAGAGTCCCGCTAATCCGGACTAGATGGGACCGGACTCTCTCCGGATTATCGAAAATCCGGATTAAACGAAATGACGTTTTTTTTAACTTACTCATTAATAAACACTATAAATAATAACACAATAAATATGCTTATCTTAATTATGGGTATTCCCGAATATATATATTATACATGAGTACTAAATACGAAACATAAATTATCCGGATTATCCGGATGTYCGAATTAGCGATGACCGGATTAGCGGGACTCTACTGTATTATATACATACGTCATACATATTATAAACATATTATTTACACATTGTCACATTATACATGCTGTTTAGTCAGTGTATTTTACTTAACACAGGTTATGATACTGATCACGGGATCACACAAGGCGTTTGCTTTGCATAAAGCAATTGAAGAAGGAGTCAATCACATGTGGACCGTTTCGGCATTCCAACAACATCCAAAAACAATCATACTATGCGACGAAGATGCTACATTGGAATTGAAAGTAAAGACTGTGAAATACTTTAAGGTAAGTTTATGTATATAAATCTAACTACAGGCATAGATAAATAATAAAATACCAAGTATATAAATATTCATAATTAATAAAAAAATTAGAAATATTTTCAATTCAAATTGTTGTTTTACGCTAAGTATATTAAACTTTACTTTTTTTACAAATTATAAACAATAATGACGTAACTAAAAATTTCATCAGAAGAGGCAAACCAAGAGTATTTTTTAACTTTTACCACTATTTAAATTTTTTTTAAATTAATATATTTGACATATTATGTGGTACTATATTATTTGATATAATATACACATATCATTTGGTGCACAATGGTGTTGTGATTTTAATAGGTAAAAATGGATCGGGGCGCAATCGTGTTACAAATTTTTGACGCAATAGTGGCGTAATTAGTTGGGTCAAAAAAAGAAAAATTGTGCAATTGTGTCGCACCGGATAAAATTGGTGTTTTGGGTATATTAAAACATCCAGAAATCAAAATAAGGGGATTAATGAAGTTCGACATTGATTACGATAAAAGGTAGGTACACCTACAGTACCTACCTATGTTTGAATAGTTTAAAACTGAAGTTCCTAAAGATATTTTTAAATAATTTTCTTACGTTTGTATAAAATATTTTATTGTATTAAAGATTAATTATTTAAGTTTAATTTTGTTTAAAGTTTAAGTTTATAAAAGTTATATATTATGAATTATACATTAGTTTGTTAAAAATTGGAAAAAGGTTATGTAATATGATTTTCAATATCAATTTTAGTTGACTTTTGTTAAACATTTTATTTCTTAAAGGTTATGGCGCTTAATTTTCATTAATGTTTATTAAGTACCTATCTCCCCAATTCTGGGTATAAAAAGAAATTCATATTACATTATTGTTCCTATTCGCCCATCGATGGGTAAATAGGAACATGTTTTTAAAAAATTATTAAAAAATAACTTTGGAACTTAAAGTAATTGTTTTTCATCTCGAAATTGTCTTATTGTTCACATATTCCAAAACAACTTTCAGAAAKAAAAAATCTTAAAAACCGAACGTTTTATTTCRGAAAAACCTCAAAAACCGTTCCTATATTCGCCCCATTTTACGGCAGTTAACAAAATATGCTATATACCATACTATATGCTATGTATAATAATTTATGTAGAACATAAAATAATTAATCAATTAAATTAAAAATAAATAATCAATTCACAATTTTCCTTCCCAATTATTGCAGGCTATTAGGACTGTCAACAAATTATAATAGTTGGCTTGGTTAAAAATTGTTTTTTCCTAATTACATGACGTATGCTAAATGTATATTATACAGACATAGTAAATATAGTCGATATTTTTTTTGTTTATATAAAAATAATCCGTTATAAATTTAATGATAAGATTTTAAAAATTACATTTGGTGACTATAGCACAAAATCATGGCCCCGTTGATTGGAAATAGTCATTCATTGATATTTTGTTTTTTTWAAATTTTTCCCAAGTACCCATTATAAATTTAATATTGTTTTCTTGCTATTTTCGTAATTTATTTTAGATTCTGAACGGAGTGATGAATGTATTGATTTTACAATGACGTGTGTGCTTTTTTTGTGTCTGTGTACAGCATAACTAGTCGAAATAATGATTCAATTTCAAACTTTTGGGTTGGTTTCCGATGGAAAAGTTAATATCCTTGGTGCATTATAGAGGTCAAAAGTAAACATTTTCTAAAAACTTCTTCTTTTAATGCCCACAAAGAAGGAGGGAATAAGTCTTACACATAAGTTTCTGTTAAATAATCGCAAAATTGTTCTATTTTATTATTAGATGGCATATCTGCAATTAAATCAAAAACAAACGAATCTTCGACTTCGTCAGGGTCAAGGAACGGGAGACCAAAAATATAATTTAAAAATTTTCCTTCATCTGTGTCKCCTTCAATKTAAAGTTTAGATAGACMCAAATTTTGTAATTTTCTAAGCCACTAGTATTATGAAATGTAAAGGAACCGATATTACCGATATATGTTTCGTTAAATCTTAAAAATACATTTGGATTTACCTTACCAATTTGTACGCAAGACAAATTAAACGATATACGTATATGGTAGGTATATACATAGAAGGTATATAAAATAAATTGCCGCAGTTTGCATAATGTATCTTATCGGTTTTGCCGCAGATTGTATAATCTTAATTTTTTTTTGCCGCAGTTTACATATCGACTTTTAGAAAAAGGTTAATTTTGCCGCAGTTTACCATCTCCCTGAGTAATGTGCGTTGAATTTGGGGKTAAAAATACAAATTCAATATTATGTTTTGAACAGGCCTTAATTCCTTCCATAGTCAAGTGGGTTGATAAATTGTCACCAATAATAATTATTATCTTTTTTACCCGATTTGTTTATAACGAACGATATAACTATTTTCAGTAGGTAAAGACGGCTGAAGTGAAAAATTGCCCACCCTCACCATTAAAGCCTAATGAAAATGTTATAATTATTTTATTACTTTTAGTACTGAAGTATTAAAAATCATTATTTTAAATTAGAGGCATTTATTCAGAAATCCTGAATTAGATTCACTTATTGTTGGCTAATGGCTGGGGTATAAAATTAAATATATTTATTAATGAAAGGTTTTGCACTTAACTATACAGGTAACATATTATATTTTAAAAAAGTATTAATTTATTGAAATTTCTTTTCATTTAACAATCAGTTTATTGAAAATATGACAATTATTGTCATTTGGGTGCACCTAAAATGAATTGCAGATAGCAGATGGTAATATCTTTGTTCTGTCAAAATTCATACACATGTTTTTCTTGTTAAATAAAATATCACAGAATTGGAATAAAAATGTATTTTAAATGATACAATTATTTATTTAGATCACTTAATCATATAATATTTCAATATATTTTTTATGTATTGAGAAAAATAATATTTCATGATTTAAAACAATAACAATTGTAGACTGTAGTGTATTGAGAAAGCATATATGAGCTTAGCACTTAAATATTATTCATGAATTACGGGTTTAGTAAATCAATTTCAATCTAGCAATTTAGCTCCTAAGAAGTTATGCAAACAACATATAAATGTTACGGGCAAAGTAGGAAGTCGAGCATTGTGCATAATGCCCGATTTTCAAGGGCAAAGTTGGAATAAGTTAACATTACCCGGGCATTGTATACATTGCCCAATTAGATTTGGACACTGTAGATTAAATATATTAAAAATTAAATAAAACATCTTACGGAGTACTAGTACTTAAAAAAGTTGTATTTTACTGTCTTTATCACTTTCATCACTTTTTTCTCATTTATGTTTTCGATAACAGCTCCACATCCTTGACTCTTGAGCTTTTACTAAGACTCCCTCAGATGTTTT